GATCCTTTTATCTCTCTCTGCATCAGCTTTTCTGCATTCCTGTTCTGTTTTCTAATCTATTAATGGTCTCCTGCATCTCGTCCATTCTGCTTTGAAGTCCTTCCAGAGATTGTTTAATTTCTGTATTCTCCCTCCTTAGTTCTTGCGTATTTCTCTGCAAGTCCATCAGCATGGTTATGACTTTTGTTTTGAATTCTTTTTCAGGAAGACTGGTTAAATCTATCTCCCCAGGTTCCTTCTCAGGGGAAGATCTAGAAGATGTCGAAGCTGTCTGGATTAGTCTTGTCTGGATCAAATTTTTTTGCCTTTTCATGTTGATCGGTGCAGTGGTATGCTATTGATGAGTCTGTCAGCTGGGAGAGCCTAGACTTTTTCCACTTGTTCCTAGCCTTTCTTTACTATGACAACTGCGACCCCTAGTGGCTTGTGTTGGGCAATTGCGTGTAGACTGGGTCTCTGTATCTTGCCCGGCTGGTATGGAGGAAGCTCCCTTGCTGTGTGTGTGGCCAGCCTCAGGCTGCTACTCTGCTATGGTGGGGCCCCAGAGGGGTAATGGATGGGGGGCTGTTTGGCTGTTTATCTCCATGAGGGGTTTCAGAGCTGTTGCCCAGGGGGTTAGTGCACCCGGAGTTCCCTGGAATTTCCAGCTGCTGGACTCTGACCCGGGATGCTTCTGTCCAGTTATGGGGTCCCTGTCTCTTTAAGACTTTCAAAAAGCACTCACTTTTCTTTGTCCCAGGGGCACCGGCTTCAGGACCTGCTCACAGGTCTTACTGTCCTGCTGCCCTAGTTTCCAGCACCCCATGCATGCACTGTGTGTCTGTGCTGTGGTGTGGATGGCTAGGGCTGGGTGTTTAGCAGTCTGGGCTTCCTCTCCCTCCCCGCTCTGACTCCTCTCCTCCTTCCAGAAGCTTGGGTGAGGGGCCTTGTGTCCCACCGGGCTGCGGCTTGTATCTTACCCCTTTCTCCAGGTGCTGGGTTCTCGCAGGTGTGGATGTAGTCTGGCTGTTGTCCTGTGTCTTCTGGTCTCTATTTTAGGGATAGTTGTATTTGTTATATTTTCAAAAATATACATGTTTTTGAGAGGAAATTCCCACTGTCCTACTCACACTGCCATCTTGGCTCCACCAGGGCTTTCTTGATGCATTTAAGAAAGCATTTGTTGAGGAAAACAAACCTATGTGAAGATGTTTTTTCCTATAGTTACTTCTTGTTTTCATAATGAGTTTCAGCAGGTATATTGATTTTTTAGTTTTAAGCAAACCAATGTCAAGAGCTCCTTAAATGTTACTTTAAACATAGCAGGAAAACGATCCCTACTCAGGGATGTTTTTCTTAGCTGTGAAAACCAATAGGTTGTGCTCATGAACTAGATTTAGGAGTTGGAGCAAGTGGAAGAGGGAGGAATTATGAACTCCTAGGTTCTGCCTTGAGCAATTAAGTGGTTCATAGTGCCACTGCCTGAGACTGGGAAAAAAAGAGGAAAAGGTATGGAGAAAAATAAAATTATGGACATAAGTTTGAAACATCCTACAGATCTATCAATGGACAGATAAAAGATTCTGGAGTTTGAAAGAGAGATCTAAGCTAGATATATAACTTAGGAATCATCAGCACAGAGATGGTACTGAAAGCCATGGAATGGAAGAAATCACCTAGAGACTCTACAGAGAACTCTAGGACTGCCTTTTAAGAATTTCAATATTTAGAAATGGGGTTGAGGAGGAAGATCTAACAAAGGAGACTGAGAAGGACTAGCTAGTATATAGGAAGAAAATCAAGTGTGGGGTTATAGATGTCAAGAAAGGAAAATGTTTCAAGTAGTCAACTGTAGCAAGTGCCTGCTGAGAGTAAGATCTGATTTGGCAAGCTAGAGGTTGTAGGTGCCCTTGATCAGAGCTATTTCAGTGGATGGGGATCTGGGTGGGGAAGCAAGGATATGGAGACAGCACACAGAGGTAACTTTGACATGTTTGACTATGAAGATGGGGAAAGAAATAGGGTATTAGCTGGAAAAGGATGTGTGGTCCAGGAAGGTGTTACTGTTTTTGTTTATTTTTAAAGATAAAAGATAAGATGAGATATGTGCAGTAGAGAGTAAACTAATGATACTACAGAAAAGAAGGAAGACCAAAGGACTGAAGCTCTTAAAAAGGCGAGAGGGGGTGGGATCCAGAGCACACGTGAGGGTATTTGGTCTCTGATAGAGAAGTCACTTCATTTTACAAAAGGGAAGACAATGGAAATCAGGTAGCTCAGCAGATCTGGTCACAGACTCTACACGAGGCCACCAGCTAAAAATGAAAGGCTTGAGAAGAATGGGGTGTAATAATCCCTGTGGGGGAGAGAAGAGCAAGTGTGCTAGAGAACTCAGCAGGACTGTGAGGCAGTACAAGTGCCAATCTGAAGTTTCTGTGATTCATTTAAAGGGAAACTAAGAAATACCAACTATTTTATTTTTCTGTCTAGAACTCACAAAATGTTGAGTTTGTGCAGAGTTGAGGTTTAGATAGGTGAGTGGCGTTGTGATGCAGAGGGGCAAGGTGGGGGTGGGGAGTACTGGCTAGAAAGGGACTCAAATTGCTTAAAAGAAAGCAGTAAAGTGAGGAAGCAGATTGGAGTTCTCTTGAGAGAAGACTTAGAAGCTGGAAGGATAGGAAGTAGTGTAGGGGAACATTTCAAGTGATGGTTTTTAAGTAAGTTTCTGGTGGTGTTGGTTTCCTGTGGCCTTAGGAATGTGTGGTGGAGGTAGAGGGAAAAATGTCAGGACACAGGGAGGTGGGGAATTAAATGGGTCAATCACAGGTAAGTTACTGAATGTGAGGAGTTAGGGAAGACAGGAGGATTGTAAACCAAGTGCTGAGAACTGGTTGTTGATGTCGCAGTGGAAGGGGAGAGGGTGGTAAAGCCCAGATGGCATTGGCATCAATGGAAAGTTTTATTGAGGAAAGCAGGGGCAAAAATGGTCTGGAAGCAGCAAAGGGGCAGCAAGTTAGGCAACGATTCTGTCTTGCGATACTAAGGGTGTGGGGTGTTTGAGAAAAAGCAGCTTCAGTTTAGAGAGCGACAAGGAAAGGAGTGTTCTCAAGGGATAGCAAGGTTTCTGGTAACGTAAAGCAGTGATGAGAGCAGTCACTGAAGTCCAAGACCGTGTAAATGTTTACTGATGACAGACAACTCTAGAAAGGTGGGCACTGTCTGCTTGGCTAGGAAATATATTCCTGGCCAGTCATGTTACAGTACTCATTCAAGGAATCAGTGAATGAAACAGAATTTAAGAGCTTAAATATCTAAATTACTATCCTGCCGTAATAGTCAAAGGTGTTTACTTTTCTAAACTGTGGTAAAATATACATAAAATTTACCATCTATCATTTTTAAGTGGTGTTAAGTACATTCACCTTGTTGCCCTCATCCATCTCTGTAACCTTTTCATCTTCCCAAACTGAAACTGTTCCTACTAAACTATAACTCCCTATTCTGCCCTTCCCCCAGCCCTATCTTTATGAATTTGACTTTTCTAGGTACCTCATATAAATGGAATTATTTGTCCATTTATAAATCTGGCTTTTCTCACTTAGTATCACGTCCTCAAGGTTCATCCATGTTGTATAGCATGCATTGTAATTTCCTTAAGAACAAATACTCCATTGTGTGTGTGTATATGCACATAACACATTTTGTTTATCCATTCATCCATCAATGGACACTTAGGGTGCTTCTACTTTGAATAATGCAGCTTTGAACATAAGTGTATAATTTCTTTGAGACCTTGCTTCAATTCTTCTGGGTATATACTCAAATGTGAAATTGCTGGATCATATAATTTTGCTTAATTTTTCCTGATGAACTGCCAGTTTTCCGTAGGGGTTGCACCATTTTACATTCCAAACAATGCACTAGGGTTCCAATTTCCCTACATCCTTGCCAACACTTATTTTTTAGAGTAGCCCTCCTTATAAATGTGAGGTGGTATTTCATTGTGGTTTTGATTCGCATTTGTCTACTAGTGTTGAGCATCTTTTCATGTGCTTATTGGCCATTTGTACAATTTCCTTGGAGAATTATCGTCTTCTGCCCATTAGAAAAATTGGGTTTTCTTGAGTTGTAAACCCCCTATTGGATACATAATTTGCAAGTACTTTCTCCCAATCCATGTTTGCCTTTTCACTGTTCCATGTTTTGATACACTTAAAATTTTGGTGTGATCTGATTTACCTATTTTATTGCCTGTGCTTTTGGTGTCATGTCCTAGAAATCACTGCCAAATTCTGTCATGAAGTATTTTCCCAATGTTTTTTTCTAAGATCTTAAAAGTTTTAAAGTTTAGGTCTTAGATCCATTAATTCTTTTCTATGATGTAAGGTAAGGGACCAACCTCATTCTTTTTCATGTGGATAGTTTACCAGCATCATTTTTGACTATCTTTCCCATTGGATGGTTTTGGCACTTTGTCAAAAGAAGAGTTTATTTTCCAGCTCTCTGTTCTTTTCTATAGTTTTGTCTGTCTTACTATCAGTGGTTTTTAATAACTGAGAAATGTACAATGTGTTCATCCTTGATCATCATTTAACCTTTATCAAATAAAGATTAATGTTTCCCTGCCTTCCATACCTTCTCAATCTTCCACACCACATTACTATTCAGCTTCAAAATTGTAATGACTATTTTAATAGATGACAAGTATCTATAATTTCCAAACTTTAAACATTAACATACTTCTTCCATTGGCCCTGGTACCAATTTGTACATTTACTGTACCTGTTTTAATGAGTCTCAGAAAAAGGGCAGATTTGAATAATTATTATTGAAACTGTTAAATAGATCGTAACTTCCACTATTTTATTGAAAATGTGATTTCATTTTAGCATATTAAGGAATATTTCTCTACACTTTTTTCCTTCTTCACTTAGGGGCCACTGTATTTTGTGTTGCTCCAAATGCAGTATTTCCATTTGAACTGTACAATGAAGAATATTTAGAGCAAAGGGACATCTATCTGACTCAATGCCAGCAAGAACTTCAACAGTTTATTGCCACATATGGACCTGGGACAGCTATTTTCACTAGTGATGAATAAGCAATATGAAGAAAATGTCTTTCTACTTAAGCAGTGGAAATGTTAGTGGTTTTGAAGTAATGCTTCATTCAGCTAATACTGTGTATAGTAGTATGTTAGAATGCCATCCTAAAAAATGTAAAATGTTTTCTTAAAATTAATTGCTAATGGAATAAACACTAATCCAAAGCTCAGAGCAAATAGAAATTTCAAATTTAGAATCCTATTACAAAAACCTCTGGCTAGCCCAGTACATGTGGTCAACATGGTCACTGGATAAAAAAATATGAATGCGGTAAACTAGTCAGTGTAAAAAATGGTAGCTTTTATGTAGTTCCCCTACACTTGTCACAAGATGGCAATTACATTTTAACAAATCATTTTAAACCGTTTTTTTGCACTTGTGACTTTGACAGATTATTAATTTATATAACCAGAGCCTCAAATTTAAGGACTCTTCATATTTTACTAGATATTGGCACATCCATTATATAGATAGTTATTATTTAGGAAGTCCGAAATATGGAATCAGGAGAAGCCTTGGAAAATTTTCCCTTTTATAAAGCCATGTTAAATGAACACACATAATTTACATCAAATCAAAGAATAATAATAAGTGAGTCTTTATTATAAGAAAAGTACTGTTTGCATTTTTGGACGGAAGGTAACTGCTCTGAAAAGACAGGACATCATGAGAAAACATGCCGCCTTATAAAATCCCAAAATGTTTTCATTCTTTAAAGCTTCAAGATTTCTACTAAAAGGAAAATATCGTGTAATTGCCACTTTATTAGCCAACATACTACCATGCACTGATTCTTTAGAAATTGGTAGAGCTCTTAACCATAAAGGTGGGGAGGTCTCTCTCTACAGGGTTTTGCCAGATCACTGCCTTCCTGGTCATTCACTTAACAGTATTTTTTGAACATCCACTAGTGCCAGAGATTATGCAGTTAAGTCTTCATATTTACATACAATTGTATATTGTCAAGACCTTATTTTGCGGCATCCTCATTACTACATTTCATGTTTCTGGTTCTGTTTGGGATGAAAGCAAAACACATTTGTTTTATTAAAGCTAGGATCCATAAAATGGAACCATTTTACAATTGTAGTGTTAAGGTTCTATTGATGAAACGAGGACTGGTATCACTGGGGGGTAAAATGGTTTTCAAGTGTTGCCTCGGACAAGAACGATTATAGAGATGTTGCTGTATATGTCTTATACTGTTTGATTTACCATGTTGAAATTATAATCCTGATAAACGGAGGGAATTTATATGCTGTGGGACTCAACAGGAAAGCAAGATTTAGCTCTATTTAAAGTCTTCACCCAGGTAGGAACTGTTTAGAATTCTTTTAAATTCTCAAGTCCTGGATAGACTGGACTGTCCAGTCACTATTTTCCTTAATACAGCATATTGTTATTGCTTATTAACTAAGATTAGGATTACTTTTTTGTTTACAGAGGTAAAAGCAAACTGATGAAATTTAAATTAAAAAAAATTTATGTCACAAGTGAAACCTCTACTTTTACAAGGCAATTAAGGAGTTAGGAGATGCTAACTATAGTTGGCCCTGGAACAAGGGGATTAGGAGCTTAATCCCCCCTCCTCCCATGTAATTGGAAATCTCCATGTAACTTTTGACTCTCCAAACAACCTACTGTTGACCAGAAGCCTTACTGGTAACACAGTTGATTAACACATTTTGTATGCTATTATATATGGTATTCTTGTAATAAAAGAAGATAAAAATTTTTTCCAAGTTGTCACATATCTCTCAAAATCTTCCAGTAGATTTACTGGAAAAAAAATAACATCTGCTTATAATTGGACTTGCACAGTTCAAATTTCAGGTTTAACAACAGGTTATGCAGGGAGGCCCATATAGTTATCTGGTGTTCAATGATTAGGGCCTCTGCAGAACCCTGCTAAGGAAAGAAAAAGGGTATGAGAACTGGAAGTACTAGAAATGTCTCCCCAGCTGCTTATCCACCTACCTCATACAGAAATCACTATCCACAAATGAGCTAGTTATTGACAAGAGCATAGTCTCCCTGAAATGTGTTTAAAGAAAGTCTGAACTAGTGGCTATGAGAACAGAGATGTTTAAAGATTTGATATATTTTAAAGGGAACACTTTATTGCGCAGCAATTAAAAGTATTCAGACATGTATTTTTCTACATAATTTATTGTGAGATTACCAATGTTAAATAAAATGTTAATTTTCACCATTTGCTTCAGTTCATTTCTTCTTGCCCAATTCTTTCTCTTCCAAATGGCTGCATGCCAGACCTCCAGGGGGAAAAGAAAAACCAGAAACCAACAGTGAAAATCATTCCATACTCAAACTCAAAAACCATAACCTTGACATACAAAAGCAATTTTAAGAGGAAATGAAGCCAGCCCTCTGAAGTTTATCAGATACTTTTCAATTATTAATAGATGCTGTTGTTTGACCAATCATACTTACTTGAGGCAATGAAGAACTTTTAAAAGCCACAGCTATGGACTTGAACATTGATCTGTAGCTACCTGTATGGTGAAAAAAACGTACCCATTTAAAAAAACTGCATTATATTTGAGTAATTCATCACATAATCAATGTAGATTACTGGCATCTCAGTCTTAAAATTATTTCTTCAAAGAAACCCTCAGCTGGGTAAACGGCAAAAAGTAATCTGTCATCACTGTGCCAGCTATCTATGTCAACAAAAATCGTATTAAACATTTCTGGTACTGCTCTCCACAAACAGTACCAGTACCATAAAAACATAAAAAGAAAACCCACACAATTTAACTTTTGGTACCTATTATATGCAGTTACATTCCTAGTAATTTTCTTCCCAGTGGTTTTTTTTTCCATCCTCTGAGAAGTTTCTGGAAAACACTTAACATGATAACCTTCATTCATCTTCAGCTCATAGGCTGTTGCACCTGGAAATTAAATATTTCATTGTGAATACTCATTTGTACTTCCATCTGTTGTTTGCCCTCTTATATGTAGAAATGGTCCAATAACATTTTTATTCATTTTTAATCAGGAACCATAAACATAACCATAGTTGCAACCTGATTCCCAACCAGCTTTTTAATAAAAACCACCAACACTGAGACTATATAGTGGAGTAATTTTCTGTTGTTCAACACATCTCTAATGGAACAGAAGACAATTCTTATTGCTCTATTCTACTTTTGGTAGTATAAATCCAAAATCTAACATATCTATAAATGATTTGAGTATTTATTAGCCCTTTTGCTTGAACGGACCCTAATATTGTTAAATGATCTATGTTGGAAACGGATTCATTAACATTGACAGGAAAAAGTGGATATATTTATGATGTTCTTTACTGAAGCACTATTGATCTTAAGACATGATATTCCTAATGAGTATCCAGCCATTGCTTTTCTGTCTCAGAGATTGACACGGATGAGATACAAACCAGGTTAAAGGTTAGATATATAAAAACAAGTGTGCAGCCCTCCAACTAAAGCATTCTAATGGAAATCTAATAGAGTTTTAGAGCAGGGATACCTTTTGTTGGCATCATTACTGGCAGTCCTGTAGAATTAAGTCCCAAGTTGCTTGAAAGCATGCTTGTGTACAGCAAAGGGCATGGCTCAAGCCACAGATCACGTCCTACAGCACCCAGGAGGCTAAAATCATTTAACAAAAGAGCTACTGGAAATGATTTATGAAGACAGATCAAACGTTGGACTGTAAAAAACAATTTATCATTTCTTTCAAGTCTTGAAATTATTTCACATAATTGATATTAGAATTACTAACAGTTAATTATGAGTAATTCCAACTTTCAAAATTTCAGTTCAATATATAATTCATGGGACCTATTGACAACTACATGCACAGTCCAATTGTGTAAACTCTAAAACAAAATGTTTCATGACATTTATGTAGAATAAAGCTGTTACTCATCCCACTACCCTCAAAAAAACCAAGAAACCAGACACAAAATCCAGATAACAAGCATCTCGGGATGGAAGGCAGGGGAATAGAACAGGGAAACAAGTATATTATTGTTAAGATTTCGGTTCCTAAATGGATCACTTGGCTCTTGCGTATTTATGTATTAGGACTTACGTGCATTATCAATATTTCTACCTAACATTTAGTTTGTAAAATTAAAAAAATCCAAAGAAACACCTAGCAATGAAACTGGGATTCAAGCCACTTAGGCCTCAAATGTAAGGATGACTAATACCAAATATAAACTGTTTTCAGCCATCACATTTGCCTTGTTGACAGTTAACTGTTTTAGATGAAGCAGTACTTCAAATATGGAGGCAGGAAAAAACCAAAACGCCATGACCGTACCATGTCTCATCAATGAGGTATTCACTTATAATTTGTTTTTGATGAGGCTAGAGTTCCTCTAAGCCTCCCAGCTGTAACCAGTTCCTTCTGTACCAAGTCCAGAAATACACATCTCTGCGTATTGTGACTACGATACAGCAGGCCTCTACACTGTATTATTCTCCAACTCTACTGCCACTTCTTTATAGAGTTTATGTATAAATGCCGGCAAGCAGAGAGATCTGTCGAGACCACAACTTTCAGTAGGTAAACTGAGCTGTTAACAATTTGAAAAACCAATCACAAAGTACAGTTAAGCAAAGGCTTTCTCGTATCTAATAGAAAATTCCCTTCTCAGTTTATAAAGCGCTCCCTAAGGATTAACAAGCCGCCTATTTAAGGAGCCCCGAAACCATCCGGGCCGTGCACGTGGCCACCGGACTATCGTGCTCCCGCCTCCGAAGCCGGTGAACCACAGAAGGCCTAAATCAGTTTGCGAGCTGCGAACAGTCGACACTGGCGTTCACTAAAGAGTCAGGTAAGACTCGCTGGCGGCTACTCACAATAGACGAGTGAGCAGATGGCGGGGAAGCGGGCTCGTGGCCGCGTGGGTCGGTGGGGGAGAGGAAGGCCGCGTCGCCGACCGCCCGGCTGCGCCCGTACGAAGGGCGGAGGCCCCGGAACGGGACCACAAGAGCTCCGAGGGCGAAGGCAGGCACGGATTCAGCCATGGAGTCGGTTCACGGCAGAAAGCAGCGAGGAACTAACATCGCGGGGACTCCCACCTCGAAGAAGTCGGAGACCGGCCCGCTCGGCCACGGCACTTCCCGCACATAGGACCCTACCCGGGCGCCCGCGCAGAAAAGAAAGTGGAGTGCCAGGGCAGCCGCTAGGCGCTACGGGATGGTTCCGCCCCTTCCGGGACTGATCCCGCCCCTGCCGGCCCAGCGCGCGCCTGCGTGGGAGCAGGGTCCGGACGCTGCTGCTCTTCTTGGACAGGTTGGCCTGAGGTGGCGCGCTACACCAGTTTACATTGCGGAGGTTTTTGGAACTTCCATAGAGGCTTTCAAGGCTCACGAGGACCTCACCTAGAGCTGGTTTCTTGAGTATGTACTGATTAATCTACCGGCTTGTTAGGGATCCCAGAGAGCAGAAAGGGCTCTAAAAAGAAAGGGTCTCCCATCCTTGTACATTACATTTGCGTCCTCTTGTTAACCTTAAAAATAAAACTGGCAGTTACTTTACCAGCAAAATGGGTTTATTTGGGAATAACAGAATTGTAATTTGGGACAAACTATGGCAAAACCACAGGCATGTAGGGAAAAAAAAACATAGGAATGCTCTTTTATAGAAGAAATGGGAAGAGCTGGGGGACTGCTAAGCAAAAAGTCCATTGGGAGGAAACTGGGAGTCTCGTGTTTTGGCTGCTCATCGACTGGGCTGTGGCTGGGCTATTGCTACGGGAGGCAGAAGCTCTTCCCTCTCCCTGCTGGATGGTAAAGTAGCCAAAGTTAAGTTGTAAGGTGTCCTCCCTTTCTGTGGGGTCTGCGATTGATGAGGCCTGCTGGGCCCGAGAGCTCCCTCTACAGGCCTTTGGACACCATGTCAGTGAGGTGTCCCTTCAATTTTCAGTCTTCTACCCCTCACCTACTTAAGTGCTTAAAAGACTGGTGGTGTTTGTTGGACATCCCAGTTTCCAGTAAGGGCATCTGGAATCAACCTCTTCATCCACCAGAAGAACCAATACCAGGAAGAAAAAAAAGCGATTCTATTTCCCCTATAACAATAGCTACTGTTCCTATTTTTACTAATAATAGAGGGTTAAGAAAAGCTTTCATAAAGCACCTGCCTTATTTATGAACATGTTGTAATTTGCTGTTGATTTTCGTGCCCTGCATATTATCACTCTCGTTTTTCTTAATCATTATATATTGAATCCTGCCTGCAAAGCAGTAGGCTTAATGCTGGAGACAGGTTGATCTTGTTACCAGAAAGTATACACTTGAAAGCATATAATTAAATAATTGAATCGGTAAAACACATTGCTCCTTTAAAAACTGGGAGTCTAAGAAACCGATACAAAATCTATTATAAAATCTATTTGCTTCAAAGACACATGGTATGAAAATCTAAATTCAGCAAAACAAATCGTGATCATTTCTCTTTATATAAAATGTTTGCTGGATGCTCTACAAGGGCTTAAAACTCTTTCCTTAGGGCCTCAAACGTGTTCTGTTTCTTCTGTCAAGTAATGGCTTGGGTCTCAGCCTGATGAGATATTTTTACTTCATCCCATTGGGTTTGTCAATGATTTCTTGAATATGACACCAAAAACACAGGCAATAAAAGAAAAAAATAAGGTAAATTGGACTTCACCAAAATCAAAAGCTTTTGTGCATTAAAAGATACTTTCAAGAGAGTGAAAAGACAATCCACAGAATGGGAGAAAATATTTGCAAAGCATATCTGGTTAGGGATTAATATCCAGAGTATCTGAAGAACTCCTACAACTCAACAATGAAAAAAAACCAAACAACCCAGTTAAAAAATGAACAAAGAACATGAATAGACATCTCTTCAAAGAAGATATACAAATGACTAATAAAAACACACAAAAGATGCTCACTATAACTAGCTGTTAGGGAAATGTGAATCAAAATTTATATAAGCTACCCCTTCACACCCATTAGGATAGCCATTAAAAAAACAACAAATAGCAAGTGTTGGCAGGGATATGGAGAAATTGGAACCTGTGTACCATTGCTGGTGAAATGTAAAATGATTCAGCCTCTGTGGAAGATAGTATTAGGATTCCTCAAAAAGTTAAACATAGAATTACTTCATGATCCAGCATTTCCATTTCAAGGTATATATATTCAAAACATTGAAAGCAGAGCCTCAAACAAATGTACACCATTGTTAATAACAGCATTATTCGTTATAGCCAAAAGGTAGAAAAACAACCCAGATGTCCATCAGTGGATGAATGGATAAACAAAATGTGTTATATACATTCAGCAGAGTATTATTCAGCCTTAAACAGCAAGAAAACAGTGATATATCCTACAATGTGGANTCATGTGCTTATTGGCCATTTGTACAATTTCCTTGGAGAATTATCGTCTTCTGCCCATTAGAAAAATTGGGTTTTCTTGAGTTGTAAACCCCCTATTGGATACATAATTTGCAAGTACTTTCTCCCAATCCATGTTTGCCTTTTCACTGTTCCATGTTTTGATACACTTAAAATTTTGGTGTGATCTGATTTACCTATTTTATTGCCTGTGCTTTTGGTGTCATGTCCTAGAAATCACTGCCAAATTCTGTCATGAAGTATTTTCCCAATGTTTTTTTCTAAGATCTTAAAAGTTTTAAAGTTTAG